ATAAAAAGTGTTACATCATGTTACAGTTTTGCTCGTCACTGTATGTGTAAATCTCCACCCCCAATCCATCCAACTGTCATCAGCATAAAGCTAACCACACATCATCAGACTTTTACAATTTGATCCTCACACGCCCGCTTATCCTTTAGTCCTTTACTCGTCACNTCCACCCCCAATCCATCCAACTGTCATCAGCATAAAGCTAACCACACATCATCAGACTTTTACAATTTGATCCTCACACGCCCGCTTATCCTTTAGTCCTTTACTCGTCACCCGTCACACTGTTGTTTTGCATTCTCATTCATTTATTCGCTCACACATTCACTCACCTCTGTGTATCTACTGTTTATTTATTTGTTTTTGTACTTACTTTTATTTGCAGATAACGTGGATTGATGGACTTGGCAACGTTATAACGAGTGACATTGACTACACTATGCTGCAGATGCCGGATGAGCGTCGCTTCACCGCCCAATCGATATTGCGGCTGACACCGAAAAAGGAGCATCACAATACGACATTCACTTGTCAGGCGCAAAATACGGCAGATCGTACATATCGGTCGGCGAGAATACGTGTAGAGGTGAGTAGTGAGTACATACGAGTATGTCTGTAGTTGATTGCGAAAATATGTATACGCACATAGATATGTCGGATTTGTGTATGCAAACAAAGCTTTGTTTGAATAAACCCATCTAGGATTTTGAAGCATATTCGGGAATAAATATATGAGAATCGCTGATGATTTGCAATATTTATTGTGGAGTGTTTGGTGACATAGTGAGGAGCATTTGTTGATATTTCTCATAGTTTAAAACTTTTTAAGGTTTCGTATTTTTTCTACCCACAAAACCCCCATTTTCTAATAACTCAGGTTAATATTTTTCACTCAATTTCCTTTGGCTCTAAGTTTTTATGAATGAAAAACTTTGGCCCTGCTTCTGAATTAATTTTATTTGTTGTCCTAAGCCGAGAGCCGGCTAGAACTAATGACCATACGATGACAATAACATTCTTTCCAGAACTTCCGTCGCTAGGTTCTCGCCTTCTTCGCGGGTGTTTGCTTTGAGTGCTTGAAGAGTCTGAGGCTCTGAGGCTACTTGATATAGACTCGTGACTTATAAGGCACCACAAAATGAAAAGTGTAACGGTTTAATTCGGGCGATCTTGCCACCACCGAGAGTTTAGACAACCCAAAAATATACATATCAGAATTTCGATTGAGGCTCATGGAAGAGGGGCCTCTGTTCCGTCCTGTTAGAATCACATGTTATCTAGTCCCAATTCGCCCAATTGAGGAAGGTGTAGATCTTTCAGCATGGCTCTGTAGCGCTCACCATGCACAGTAGTCGTTTAGCTCGCGGCGTTTTCGAAAACAAGGCCGATGGCCATTGCAGTGTAAACAGCACACCACGTAGTAACCTTGAATTTTCGGTGCCCCAGAAGTAGTAGTAATAGGTCTTGATGATTTTCGTTCAAGAGTTTTCCCCACTGGTATAGATTCTAGATATCTTGGTGGTCAACGGCTGCAATTTGTAAGCGAACATCTTCAAGTCTTTCACCAAATTTCTCTGTATAGACCGCCGATCGCTGTCCAATTTCGGGCATGCCATCTGGTCGTTATCGGAGGTCCTCTACGCGACATTCTCAACAGCACGGCAGCACCTGCGGTTGTCAGAGCGGAGAGCATCTCTTATTGTTCAAAACTCTTCCAGGCGAGCATAGTCTTAGACAAATTGGTATCGAACGACCGCGAAATCTAAGCCTACGCAGCGTCAACATCAACGAATTATTCCGAAAAAAATTCCGGATTTTCTGAGAAGTATAGGGATTCACATCTTCATGGACGTTTATTTTGTATCTGTTTACTTCACAAAAAGTTCAAGTAAAACTAATATTTTCCACTATTTAAAAAATTATAGCAACTTCCGATAGGGTGATGACTTTTGCGCTACATTTGATGACTATGTCTTCCACACTGCCTCGGCAGCGAAATTCGTTATCCGAGAGTAGCTGGAGGAAACCGTCTAATATAAGGCTCCATAGAAAGTCCGAAACGATTCCCTTGTTGGCAGATCACGTAAATCGAATGACGTAAGAAAGCGCTAATAAAAAAATGCTATAGCCGCAAGTTCAAATATTGAAATATTGGATGTGCAGGCTTTCCCTAAAATGGTGGACAAAGCTGACTTTGTCTCTATATTGTAAACAGGCTGGGCATTAAGAGTTGCCTAACTGACAAAATTAGGTTGCGCTTTTGGTGCTTTTTTAGCCCGCTTCTCACAAGCTTACCAACAGAGTTCTCAACCAGACATTAAATGATTATATAAATTCTGTAAAGAAAAATGTTTTGAGTGCCGAACATCAACCGCCAAAAAAACCTTTATTTGACTAAGGTACACGGCAGAGAAAGTTTTATAAAAAATGTTGCGCAAACCATATTTTTTTAGCACTTTCCGGAATAAGACATGCCTCTAAAAGCAGTTAGATTAGTTGATGACTCTTTATATTAAATGCAGCATTGGTCCTGTTAACGACCATCTGTTGGTAGAGTTATCAAATTTGTAGCAAACTGTGCCATTTGGGTCGGAAAAAATGAGTTTCGTGCGATTCTCATAAACATAGAAAATACGGATCGAAAGTAAAAGACGTGCGACGAGATCATGGAAATTAATTTTGACCGCAACTTCGAAGTCAATTTCCCGACAGAGCGTGGAGCTTGGTAGCGTCCTAAATAATGACGAAATCCCGATCTTCATGATTGCCTCCAAGATAGACATTGAAACAGGATCTGGTGGCTTCCCTTAGAAATTATCTTTGAGTGAGTACTACAGGCTCAAATATAACTGCAGCTTTTTCCAGGCTGTGATGTATGCAGTAAGGACTAACTCGATAGGAATGCAAAAGATCCCTACAACCTCTTCCACAATACGTACTACTTCTTCGAGAACTTAGACAGCTTAGGGAAAACTCCATTTGGGGGTCCGCTAGGATTCGCTAGTATGGCTAAAAAAATATGAGGGAATTTTAATCGGAAAACCTTCTTCTGTGCATCACAATGGACCAATAAGACCTCCTATTCAGAACTCCTATTTAGAGCTGCCCGCACAATCTAATCCACCTTAGAGAAGTGTTTGATTGGAAAAACCCTGCGCCAAATATTTCAAGCTGAAAGGGAGTAAGCTAAGGAATAAACGCTTTTTGCTAAAAAAAGTCGGCAACTTAACTTAACGGAACTTAGAACTTAGAAAATCAAAGTGAAAGTGTTTCGACGTGGCATTAAGTTGCGTTAAGTTTCGGCTGTTCAATTAGAAGCAACATCCATTTAAGATAATTTTTAAGTGAGAGCCTGTAAGTAACGTTAAGTTGCCATAATCAGACCATAAGGCAAACATGAAATTATTCATTTATGAAAATAAACACTGACGCGCACAATCATATCAACTTGGCATACGGCGGCGAAAATGTAAATAGGGAAGAGTCATTTTACCAAGTTTTGGCCATTTGTCTTTGTTATAAAATTGTATTTTATTTTTTCACGAAAATAAAGTTTTTTTTATCTAGAACATACCTTTTAAATAAAATTTTCAAAGTTTGCACAACATTTATATAAATTCGACGAATTTTAGAAAATGTTCATGAAAATTTCAAACAATTTAATCAGAGTTTTTTCATCACTTTTTTCGGCCATTAAATTTTATTATAATAAAATGCAAGTTTGAAGTAGCTAGGACCTGCCATTGATTTTTGGCATTTTTTTGTTCTCGCATGAGCAACAAATGAGCAACACCTTCCACAAAAAAATGTCAAAAATCAAAGGTATGTCCTAGCTGCTTAAACTTTGCACGTGGTTATAATAAACTGCAAACTCAGAAATCACATTTTGATGAAACTTTGTCGATTTTTTTTTAATTTTTGTACAAACGTTTGAAATTTTGATTAGCGTGGTTTTTGTTAGATAACGAGCTACACTTTCATAAAGAAATAATAAAAATTAAATAAAGCAAAGTGAAATAGAAATGCTGGAATCTCTCTTCCCCATTTACATTTTCCCCTCTGCTTAGCTCTGAATTTAACTGCTATGAAAATCCGTATCAATAACCACCATACCACTTTTCTAAAAACTGTCAATTAGATAATAATGTAGTATGTATACTCATAAAAATAAGTGTTATGACATTCGGCCATTATAAATAGTTTTCAACGCCCATGGCAGTAGATCAAACGTGAAAATTTATCATACACAAAGTTAATTGTCGCGTTGTCTTTTGCGACCTGTGTGGTGGCCACATTGGCGCTTAAAGAAAAATTCATCCCAGTACAGTTATATTTATGCACGAATAAAACCAGTTTAAATTAGAGCTTTTGCTTTGCTGTCACAGCTAATGATTAGTATTCAAAGCAATTTTCTAAATGTTAGTTTTTTTAAATATACATTTTATTTTTTCATTTCTTTCAGGTAAAATACGCGCCAAAAGTCAAAGTGAGCATAATTGGCGGTGCGTTGGAGGATGGCCGTATACCGGAGTTTGCACAGGTGCGATTAGAATGCAAAGCGGATGCCAATCCCAGTGATCTGCGTTATCGTTGGTACATCAACGACGAACCAATTGTTGGTGGGCAAAAAACCGAAATGGTGAGTTAGTTACAACAAAAGCATTGAATACATGTATACGTATCGATATATGAAATGGAAGCTATATGTAGTGCTTAAAATTAGTGCATAGCAAATGCATTGAGTTGAAATAAATTTGAATGCGCAGCATTAGAGGGGTGTCGGCTCGTTGTGGCTTAGCGCAATGCGGCACAAAGTAAATGGGAGCGTGCGCACTGAATTGGTTTGAGGTTAATGCCGAGTGGCAGTTGCAGTTGCAGGCCGCTAGCTGAGGTTTGTGTATGCACCGGAAAATGTGGCATTTGTTGGTGTTGCTGCCACTACCGTTACACTATTCATAGTACATACATACATACATAGTTGGTAGATCGCATATCACAAGCCAATCAATTACTTGACTGAATGCAACAACTAGACTTGCCGCATTAAAAAGCTGGTCACTCACGTCGCAATACATGTGATATCTAGAGCAAACGGCGCTCTTCGATTTATTTTTTTTTTTTGATATTATCTTTTGCTGCCACAACGATTACGCCAACTATGATTGTTACGTGCTGCAAGCGAGAAGTTGCAACACAAGCGTTGTGTTGAAGAAAGCGTAAAACATGCAGAACGTCTTTGCAGTCAAGCGGTTAGAAAGTAGTAACAAGCTTAAATATATAGCCGCTTCAGCTCTCTTACAGCATGCGCATTTAGAGCGGAGGGAAGGAAGTCTTTGCCGCTATGATCCTAATCAGTTGGTGCGCCATAGCAAATTGCAAGCCGTTGGAAGCTGTGCTGCCTGAACTGCATTTTTTGTTATTCTTGCTTTTATTACTTTATCTCAGTCAGCGCACTCGCTTTGATTATCGCAGCTCATTTCGTCGGCGCCTAAGTAAAAATTAACTGCACTCAACGCGTCATCAGCAGCAAGTGCTGCAACATTACGAAAACCTGCCTACAACAATAAACAGCAATTGGTTTGTAGCAACCAGTTTGTTGAGTGGAATTCTAGTTTCATCACTGCAGTAGCTGCGTCAATTAGAAATACGTACTGCAGCAGCCTTTCATTAGCCAGAACTGTACGATAATTTAGTAAAAATACGGGCTTACATATAAATATGCTTTTATATAGCAATGCATTTGTGTGTGCAAACATAATACATACTTATGTATGTATCTGTTTCACCAAATGCCACATTTTTACTACTGCCGCTAGTACCACCCATAACCCGCTGCAGATGCTCGTACCATTCCACTTCGCTTATCCCACGTTGCTCTCCTTGCAAATAATAAATAACCAAATAGCCACCGACTCCTATTTGCCACTCCACTTGCAACCAGTTGATCAGCAGCTGCTAGCAATCGCTCTCACAGACACAGTCGACTTCCCGATTGCATAAGAATCTATGTAGATACATACATATATGCCTATTTGCATGTACACCTGTACATTAGACCACACCAACTTACAAGCAAACAAAAAATAAAATGCACCTTACACCCCCGAGTCTAAATTTTTTTGCAAGAAAATTTCCAAAAAATGTGTTCTTCAAAAAGTACTTACATATGTATATAGTACAACAAAAGTTTAATGATTTTTGGAAAGCTTCATTTTACTGACATTAGGGTGGTAAGAACTGAGATCTAGTGGCTAAGTACTAAAAAATGAGAAATGAATGAAAAATAATCATAATGATTATTTATTAAAGCATGTTTTTTGGGTAACCGTTTAATGATTAAATATCATTATTTGCACCTGCTTAATGACTATTAGTTAATTATTAAAAAAATAATAATTAATTAATCAATTTTAATTGCGTATGTAGTTTTATAGCCCGTTAAATTTTAGTACAATGAAGTGCAAGTTTTAAGTAGCTAAAAAAATCGCGTTGATTTTTGGCAATTTTTTTCTATACATAGTATGTTCGATAATTTTTTTTTTGTTTGTATGGAAAAATGTGCGTAATACATTCATAATAAAAATTATTAAAAATCTACGAGATTTTTTAGGAACTTCAAACTTGCACTAAAATTTAATTGGCTATAAAACTGCATACTCAACAATATTCTAAAAAATCTGATTCAAAAGATCAAAATTAGATGCAAATTTGCAGAACTTTTATAATTTTTGCACAAAGTTTTAAATATGAATTTATCTGGTTTTTGTGAGATAATGAGCTTTACTTTTTAAAAAAAATAATAAATATTAAATAAACAAAACAAAAATAGGAACAATTTATTAAAATGTAGTGTCCCTGTTTATTTTTCCACCACTGTACATAGTCCACTTCTTAATAAGATTTCTTAGAAATATTTGAAGGTTGCAGTTTGCTAGCCCATAGAATTGTTGTAAGGAATTACTTTGATTTCTGGTAATTTTTGGTTGAAGGTCTTTTCTCTAAAAAGTTCTTTCTAACAGTATTAATCAGGGACCGTAACAGTTACAACTTTTATTAAAAAAATCACTCTTTA